TCGTTCCTTATGACGCCACATTCTCTTTCACGGAACATTTGAGGACGCTTTGTAAGTTTCTAAGAGGATCGAGTGTTGGATAGCACACTAGATTCAACTGGACCAGCCCCAAGATTCAGCAAGAGGTCGATGTGAATACAGAATCAAAGGGGAAACCATAGATGATGAGGTTTGGATGGGGTGGGACGAAAAGAAGTAATAATGACGCACCATCGCGGTGCGTCATGCTCTCACAGAAGTTCATTGCCTTCTGGGTATGAGTACGGGAGGCACAGCTGAAAATCAGCGTTTTTGTAACCTGATTAAGTTTTACGAGCAGGTTATCCAGTGACTACAGGTGGGTAAGTGAAAAAGGGCAAATTAGATTCCTTCATTTGGATGAATCGGACTTCCACTCTCTTCTTTTTCCCCTTGCTACGCATCTTCAATATTTACGATAGGAGGAATAGATGACGAACAGGTCCGAGTGAGTAGACGCCAAAAAGGAAAGGGTATTTCATACTGCCTAAGTATTCAGTTCAGATGAGTCTTATCGCAGAAAGGTAAGTGATAAGAATGTGTTTGGTGCAGGAACGTAAAACGACATACTTGGAACTACTCATGGCCCATTTGCAAATATTTAGAGAATCGGCAACGTCGGCCATAAATAAATAGGGAAAAAGTGAGAGAAAAAAGACTGCTGCTTGACAGGAGCGAAGTTTTTACAGGTGAAATTTTTACAATTGTATTAAGCTCAATTATGAAGTCTGAGAAGCACTAGCCGGTCAGATTTCCAGAAGGAGAGTACTGGACTCAGCAGAAGGACTGTATAAGACGGCCAAGCGGTAAGACCTGAAGCTATGAAAATGGAAGACGAATAATTGGCAGTGTGTCCCGGTTGCGACACGCGTTCACTTGATGAGAGCAGTGAGCCGGAGGGCCGAGCCCTACTTGGACAGCCAGCCAGCCAGCCAGCTGGGCGGAATCGATAGAGCGACGAGAGCCCTCGTATTGATCTGAAGTTTTGTCTTTAATATCAGGTTGAGCAACAGCGCAAGCTAATTTCTTCGAGAATAAACCATTGGGAGGCACTACAACGAGCTGACTTTCCATTAGACATTCAACTGTATCGAGACTTTTAAGGTTTGAGAGTCAGAGAATACAAGTAGATGGACAAGCATGCTTTGGGGATGACTACACTTAGATACAGATAATTTCATGGTTTTGGAAACTAGGTATGAAATAGTCAAAATGGCCTTCTGACCTAGACGGAGCGAGCATATATAAAAGAGATAAAAGGGAGACCACTGTGAGGTGATAACAGCCTTCTACTGCTATCAGAGACAGGACTTATACGTACGTATTTTTCTATAGAATTTCAAGTTTGCTTCCTCGTATCGGCTGTGATAGGTTCATTGCCGACGTTCGTGTGCTGCGTCGAAGGAAGAACCTCGGGGTACTGGAGAAAATTCCCGTGTCTTCGGCACTATTCAATTTTCTTCCTGAACCACATGTAACCTTCCAAAACTTGTCAATACGCTTACCTGGTTGATGTACAGATTGGTGCAACGTTTGCAAATGGAAAACATTTGAAGAAGAATGCCTAGGATGGATCCCATAGCTTTTGGAATCGGCAGAAGTATGTATACCGATGGCGAATGTCAGAGAACACAAGCGATGAACTCTTTTGAGATGAACCCCTGTCGCTCACGTGAGTTCTCAGAGCTCAGTTCTTGGAACAAAGGGTTCAAAAAGTAATGAATCAAATGTTCCTTCTGGATCTCACTGTACCTAGAAAATATGCAAATTATCACTTTTGTTCTCTAACTCGGTTTCATGGAATAAGGGGTATAAAATTTGATGGTCAAGGCTTTGTGCATTCAATGTGAGTGGGTGTTTGATAGCTTGAAAACCCCAAGTTGGGTTTATATTCATCTCAAAAAAATTTACAGTTCAGCTTTTCACTTTTAATAAAAGCAATGCTTTAGTTGAAAAAATCTGTTGTGGTCAATTCTAGTGCAGTATATAATGTGCAGTTTTATTTTATGTTCATTACACCATTCAAGATCTTGTTTGCTCGCTTGCCTGCCTTTCATTTGATAATGAGAAGTTCAGCGTTTCTTCAATCGTTTTGCGTATTAGTTGTGTCAAAATGAATGAACAGACAGCCTTTCTCGGAAGGAATTGTTCATATAAAGCATATTGCATGGAAGAATCAACTTAAAGAACGTTTATTAGGCTTGGGGCTAGTTAGAGATTGTCAGAGGCCAGGGCAATTGAGGGAATTTCAACGTTATTTGAGGCATCAAGAGGAAAACCACCAAGGCATGACAAAGCTGTCGAATCTATATTGAATACAGTAGAACATGTGTTCATTTATTCGTTCCTGCTTTCTATATGACGGTTTATGAGATATTTGACCTTATTTCCATACTAAGGCATGATCTATACTACAATCTGTTAACAATTTATCTATTATAGGCCTAGTAGTTAATAATAGTAGTGAGCACTTCGAAGCTCATTTATATAATAAATGAATAAATAAATGAAATGTGTGCCAAGAATTTCCAGCTAAACTAGGTCTCATCGGAAATGCTGTTTGACGGCTAAGTCGAAGGCGTTTACGAGAGGAATCTTGAATAGATGGACCCAAGATGATGTGATCTGCGAATCCAAGTGGAGAAACCCTCACAATTTCTTCTGTCATGATTGAATTGTGAAAAGGTGGTCACTAGCATAACTTCGCCCTCAAGTTATGTTTATCAAGCGCTAGTCTTGCTGAGGTATATATTTACGCTTAAACTTATTTATTTGGCACTTTATCAATACAAGTCGTATTCTTTGTTATAGATGAGCGATTTTCCACATTCTCTTTCCCGTATGTGAAACATTTTGCCTTTGAAACCAATGGCATCATTGCTTGAGAATGCTCCTTTCTCTTAAGTTCAGTGTCGAATTCAGCCATCTTGTAGTCGTTGGAGCTTTGATATTTCTGATCGCTCGACTGAAACAAATATGGTTACGTTCATATTCGGAATATGTTTTTGAGAACTATGTTTCTCTGTAATCGTTACAATCATTGCTTGCTGTCGGCTCACAGAAAACCAATGCAATGAGTAGACCCGATTTCAAAAACCATGTTCAGTCAATGGATAACACAAGGTTTGGAAGGGAGATGAATTCCAAAGAATTCCACATTCAGAATGGAAAGCAAAGCAAAATGTCTTCTTCACTTGACCACTATATTTTTTCTTTCAATTACATCTGTTCATTCTAGCTATCCATAACATTTTGCAAAACGTTGCGGAAAGGATGAGTTACAATTGGTCTCCAATGTGTGCGGGCCGACTCTCTTTCTAATTTCTCGGTAACTACCAGCAATAGCTAAAGGCAAAAAATAGCCAATCAACAGTGATACATGGGTAAAATTTACTTATCGTTTTTCCCATAAAGAACATGTACGTTTTTCTTCACGACAGCCTGAGGATGATAGAAATCAGCAGCTGTCTTCCTTTTCGGAGGCTTCCTCGGACTTTTCGTAAAGTGGCTCAACGTCGCTTCAGCAGCTGAAAGGTAGATTTGAGATGAGTACGCATACGCTTCGATGAAAGAGGTTGGATCGAGAATATTCTGATTTTGAAGCCCCTGGTATAACTATAACCAACATGAAATGCATATGCAGGGTCTCCCAGAATCATGGGCGCTATCGCAGAAGCGAGTCAGACAAGCAATACAAAAACAGCTAACACGTGCGCAATCCTTTGATAGCCAAAAAGTAACATAGCTGGGGAACAGTGTAAAAGCCGCATACAGACCACTTCCTAGGACCTTCCGACTGTATCATCGATTTATTTCTCTTTAGTCTCCTTGTTTGCATTTCACCTCGATTACCGAATGTTATGCTTCAATTAATTCGGCCGATTAAATGGTTTCTGCTTCGTTATAATCTTGGTTTAATTACCCAAGTTTGAGGAGGAATAAAGTGGTCGGTAGTCAGTGCCGCCTCGTGTACGAATCAGTTTCATGGTGCATCGGCCGGGGATCGAACTTTGGCCGCCAGCATGGCAGGCGGGCATTCTACCACTGAACCACCGATGCCTAGCTTTAACCAAGTATTCATAACCAAGAGGAGGGAAGTGGCAATGTGGAGATATAACCAAATGCCCTTTCTCCAGTGCGACTCCTTTGAAAGCGCCTCGAATGCGACTTGTGCTATTAAAGACAACTGTAAGTGCAAACCAGCTGAGACGAAATCAGATGCGATTGCGACATCATCGAAATCGCAGAAATCATTAACAGAGTAAATGCAAGGCTTCCTATTTGCCGTCCCGGCCTGCAATTCTGGCCCTAAATTCGACGCAAGTTGTAGCAGAAATTCAAGAATCAGCATCTGCTGAATTCATCGTGAAGTTTAGCGGCAAAGTAAGCTATCCGATACAAGAAACAAACATCTAGGATTGTTTTGTCGGCGATGCAACATTCGAAGGTTGTTATAGATGCGAAAAGGGAGCTAGTGCAACCATTCGTTGTAAGTCGGAAGTTGAAACGTTAGGAGAAATTGTATGCGAGAAATACAGCTTCGTAGCAGTATGCTCGCCAGCAAACCCTTTAACGATATTGCGATTTCATCGTGATAAAGCTCGAAACTACTTGAATTGTACGTTACGATGCGGCAAAAACACCAAGTGTTTCATAATATTGGGTGTTCTTAAGTATGCACGTTTACTAGGAAAACCATTAACAAATATTTGAATGGCGATAGCGTACAGCATGCTTGGCGATTATTTTAATCATTATAGTAGTGATAGTTGCGGCACTGACTTATTTATTTTTACCATCATTCATTGATGCACTCATAAGAATAATGTGGCGAACGATAACTTTCCCCTTGGTAAAAGTTCCCTTGAGGATATTGCGATTTTTTCTGCAATCACTGTGCAAAACAAGGGAATTGCAAAGGCGAAACAAGCAACACTAACAAAAGTCCATGCGAAAACAACTGTAGAAACCCCCTTTTAGAAATGCACTCTCAAAGAAGAAAAGTCGACGATTTGCAGAAGATCAAGCAAAGACTAAGAAGTCTGCAAGCAGCCCTTCTGACGCTGAAAAAACCTGCAGATCTTTTTAATAGTATAGTCAATGTTACTCGTGAAGTCATGTTATTGTGCTCTACGCATTCTCATTTTCGCAGTCAAGCCCACCGCAATGCAAGCAGTAGCGAGAAATGGAGGGAGCGCAAGCGCGACGTAGAAATTCTAGGAGCAGAAACAGAAAACTGCGAACTCCCGTTCTTCAGCCCTCGCCAACATCTCCGAGTCCTCCACGCCTCGACGCCGATTCTCATCGCTCTGGGCAAATTGTCAAACGCGGCGTGGAACACAATGCTGGATCAGCCACTCCACTATGAAGACGCAAAAGGAAACACTCAACCAGTGTTAATTCGAATGGAGACGGTGGAGGACATCGTGGTGGATCAACTCGCTTCCATCAAGGACTTCTACGCAGAATTGAGAATTTTGCAAACAACAATTATTCAGAATGAACTGCAGGAAAGAAAGTTGGACGAACAAATCGTGCTGGCTTCGTTGAATGCAGTCAAGAACTCGGTGAATGAACTCGCAAAAAGGATGGACTCCTATCCGATGCGACCGTTCCTCAGAGCCAACGATTCCTCAACCGATGCACAGCACAATCGAGCACCAGAGGAGACCCGATCCTGCCAAGCAAGATCAGGCAGAAAGAATAAAAATAAAACCTCCGGAACCAGGCTCTAGATACGAAAAATCAGTGGTGAAGTTTCTCGAAGGACTAATGGAAACGAGAAAGCAAGTGAACGAAAACAGAGTCAAAGATCTTTTGAAAAAGCTACAGTGCCGCACAAGAGAATTCAAACAAGGACTCGATCGGGACAAAGATGCCCATATGGGTTGTGTCTTCTGCGGAGCACGCGGAATTCACTATAGCGATTCCTGTAGAATATTACCAGACAGCACCAGACGTCGATTCAAACTGCAGGGGGAGAGGCGATGCCTACTATGTTTGGAAGTCGGATGCGAAGGGATGCAAAATTGCCCAAAATCTCGGACAAGTTGCTATCACTGCAAGCAGACGGGCCACCATTCCGCAGTTTGTGAGAAGCCGGATGAAGCCCGGAATATTGAACTACGAATCGATGTTCTACGAGAAGACCTTCAAAGAAGGACTCGATCGGGACAAAGATGCCCGTATGGGTTGTGTCTTCTGCGGAGCGGTGTCTTCTGCAGAAAGAGGAGATCAAAACTCAATGCCATCAGAGAACGGCTGGGCCTGGAGCTCCTGCCAACTACATCATCTTAGGGGGCCTGAGGCCGGAGTATCGCAGAAGCGAGCCAGACAAGCAATACAAAAACAGCTGACACATGCGCAATCCCTTGGAAGTCAAAAAGTAACACAACTGGGGAACAGTATAAAAGCCGCATACAGACCACTTCCTAGGACTTTCCGACTGTATCACTGATTTATTTCTCTTTAGTCTCATTGTTTGTATTTCACCTCGATTACCGAATGTTATGCTTTAATTAATACGACCGATTAAATGGTTTCTGCTTCGTTATGAAGCTGGTTTAATTACCCAAGTTTGAGGAGGAATAAAGTGGTCGATAGTCAGTGTCGCCTCGTGTACGAATCAGTTTCAGGCGCCAACCCATGGCAGTGCATCTAAAGGCTCTCAGCTGAGAAAGACAGTTGGATATATATGCACGCTCTATATGCAATTTATATTTGTTAATATCACGTGCTGCAACATACTACAACTGCATTTCAAAACATCCCCATGAGCTTTGGAAGAAGCCCAAAGTTTGCTGTCCAACTCCTCGCATGTTGCACGCAGGTATGCTCCTCCATTTCTCAACAGCCTCTCTTGAAACTTGCTTTCTAGCATTCCAACTGGGATTGCAAAGCCGTCAGGTCCTCTTGTCAGGGGCTATACGGAGGAGTCAAGTGACTTAAGATCCGGAGACTGACTAAGACTGACTAAGAGCAGTTCTGGGAAGCGGATTCGGATCAGTGCCTCATCATCTCCAACGGTATGCCCTTTCAATACAGGCTTTTGTCCATCTTCATACCTGAACCGATTGAACCGCGGGCGTCTGACTCTTGCCGGAGACTCCCTCAAAAATTTTCATTTTCAGCGTTAATAGTACTTTTATTTTGAAAGATTGCACGTCCTAGCCGGTTGCACATTCACAGCCAAATCGTGATCGTTTTAATCATTGAGGAAAAATTTTTCGTGATTTTTTT